AATCAAACAAAAATATGAAGTAATAAGGAGAAAAAAATAGAGTGACAAGTGGCATAGATATTTAAAGAGACAACAACAAGAAAAAAGCATTCAATGATTGCAATACTATTATTCATTGGAATTGCATTTGCTGATAATGTAATTCTTTGTATGGATGAAACAAGTGATAAATGCCAACATGCTATAGAAGTCTCTAATTTAGCAAGTGGAAAGGATAATGCTAAATGTGTATTATATGGAGATGGAAAAACAATTAAAGTCTATTCAAGTAGTACATCAGAAACACCAGATGCAAATACAGATGGAGATGCAGACGACAATAAGAAAGAAGGAGTTAAAAAAGACACAACTATTGAATATCATATTGAATACTTTACAGATAAAACATGTGGAACTAAAGAAAAAGATGAGACAGTAAAAAAATTAGAGAATAAACCAGAAAATATTGTTATTACTGTAACACTTAAAGAAACACCAAGTGAAACAGCTAAAGAAGGAAGTGAGAATACATATGTAGAATATATTGTAGGAGGAGTTTGTATTAATAAGAAGATATATGTTCAAACACAATTTGGAGTTGGAGAGCATCAATGTGACGATAATGGAGAAATAGGAAATCTTGCAAATATTATTACTGATAAATATAATGGACAAGAATGTAGAACAGAAAAGATTAATGTTGGAAATAACAAATATACAACAGATAAGGATAAAGACATTCAAGAAGTCCAAGAAGTTAAGACAGAATATAGTATTGAAGCTAAAGCAAAAATTGTAGAGATTACAAGTGAAGAAGGAGGGTACATATATACATGTGAAACTGTAGAACAAAGTGTTATATGTAAGAAAGGAGATGAAGTAGTAAGAATTAAAGAAGGAGAAGCAATTGCTGAAGGTGTTAAATGTAATGATAAGAATGGAGAAGTAGAATGTCAAGATAGTAATGTTAAGGTATATTTCTTCTCTAAATGTCAAGAGAAGAAGAAGTTTACGATTGCAGGAAGTTACTTCCAAGAACTTAAATATAGTGATGAAGAATGTAAGACAGTTGAAAGTATAGAAGCTACAAGTAGTAATAATTCTAATCGAATTAAATGTGGTGATACAACGTATGCAGTCACATATGAAAAACAAGAAGAAGAAGGTATAATTTATAGTAAGACAAGTAATATTGAATATAAGAGTTATAAAGTTAATAAATGTAATAAGGGAAGTGAAACAAGTAGTAAGAAAGTAGTTAAGACAAGAGATAATACATATATAATTGAAGAGTTTTCAGATAAAGAATGTGAAGAACCAACCAGTGTAGAGAATATTGGAGACATTTCAACGGAAGTACCAGTTTCAGGAGCTACAGTAATTCGTATCGAGTCCGATGTTGAATGTTCAGTTAGTAAGAAAGAAGAAGCAGTTTTTGGAACATATATTAAAGTAGATAGTTGTGATGATAAAATGAAATATGTTATTTTAAATAATACCGTTATAAAATACGAATATAGTAGTGGAGAAGAATGTAGTAACAATGGAGAAGGAGAAGCTAATGAGAAGAAATATGGATGTGGAAAATGTGAAGATAAAGTGAAGACTATTTGTCCAGGAAACACACCATCAGGAGATACAAGTGATAATAATGATGATTCAGCATCAAGTATGATGATTGGTATTTTATCAGTTATTGCACTTTTCTTCTTTTAATTGAAGGGAATTAAAATATAATTTTTATTTTTATTTTTTTGTTATAAAATAGATAAGAAAAGAGGTCAAGATAAGAGTATAGTTGATAAAAGAATAATACAAATACATAATAAATGATAAAGAAAAATGAGAGAAAAGAGAAGAAAATAATACATAATACAAAGACAACATAGATAAGAATAAAAAGATAAAAAAAAGGTCAATTAATAGATTTATCCTCAATTGGATTTTCTTCATACTGAGAAATGATTATTTCACTTTCTTCATTATGCTCTAATAGTGTTATAGAGTTCATTTCTAACATGCTCACATTAGATTCTTCTTCTTCTATTGTGTTGCCAGAATTTCCTGTATAAAACATTAAGTCTTTCATATTTTTGAATAATACTTGTTCGTAGGATTTTGGAAAAGTCTAATTGTAGTTTTAGTGTTTTTACTCTTCTTACTGATTCTTTATGTATTAATCAATTTATTGATAATATTCCAGGTATTATTTCTCCATATATTAATTCTCTATTATTTCTTATTTTCTATTTGAATTCTTTGGAATT